TAAAACAAATAAAATTATGATTTTTACTTAACAAAAAATAAAAAAATATTAAACATTAATGTTAAAAAAAAAGGCCCAACATGTAAATAAAAAAATAAAAAATAAAAAAATCTAATCCCATGTGACTAATTTCTTAATACCATCTCCACCTCCTTCATCTCAGTCCCAACACCAAAGTCCATCCTAATTTCATGGGATTACGAATCCTCTCTCCATCTTTCAAAACAAACACAACATATAGTGAATCTCACATTCATCTCAATCTCAATCTCACCTCTATCTCTCAAAACAAAAGGGGGGCATAATGATATTTAAATATTCATTGATATTTGGCCATGTATGTTTTTAATAAGATTGTTACTAGTATTGCTCATTTTTAATATTAAGGATTGTTTAGAAATTGTTAAATAAATTGATTTTTTACCTATTATGAAATAATGTGTTAAAAATAAAGAGATAATATGACTAAAATAAATCAAAAAATTAATAAACAGGCTTATAAACTACTCTCCCACAGAGGCCCAGTAGAATCTTATAATGTAAGGAGTTGTAGTGACTCCAAATTAAAAAGAAAAAAAGGAAAATATATAAGTCTCAAGAATTAATAGAAGAGAGCCCACAAGATGAGGCTTGTTATTCAGTGGTCAAGCATTTAAGTGGCGTGTCAATTCACTTATTATTAACTAACCTATCACCCGTGCTATGCACGGAATAATTATAAATATTTATATTTGTTTTAAATTTTTTTTAATATATAAATTATGTTTTTTAAGTTTTTTTTCTTATCACTAACTATAATGTATGGGAGAAGTTGAAAAGGATATTGCAGTAACTATACACGAATTGTATCTATAATTATTTGTATGAGGGGATTTTAAATATTGATCAGGAGATTTTCACCAAATCAATAATTGCAGACATGTGGAAATATATGTGGATTGAAAAAAGTTAATAAATACTAATCAGGAGATTTTGACCAAATTAATAAATGTTGACTTTTTTTTTTAAATAAAAAAATTAAAAAATTCAGATTGGGATATTGAAGCTCCCATAGGTCTTGGGGATTAAAAACTTCATTTTGCTTAATATATAGATAGATAGATAGATATATCTTTTTATTTTTATTTTTATTTTTGTGTGGTTTCTATTCGAGTTTTTTTTTCTTTAATTTATTTAAGATGGAGTTGTGGGTATCTTTTTTTTAAAATTTAATTTATCTGTGATTTCCATTTGTTTTTAATTATTATTATTTAGGTAAGTTATGATGTGAGTTAGATATGTGATAGACATGTGAGTTTTATTGATTTAAAGTTTATTTAGATAAACTTTAAATATTTTTTTTTTTAGTTTTATAGTTTTTTTTTGTTATGTTATAATATAATATATAAAATAAAATTTGTGAGAGAGATTAGGAGGGAGAGATTATGAAATATTTTTGTTATTAAATAAATAAATCAGTCAATAGTTTTTTTTAGGGGAATTGATCAGTAAATCCCATTTTGTGGACTTGTAATCCATAAGGTCCTAAATGTTTTCTTACTGACTAGGTGGTCCCTTAATTTGTTTGTTGACAGTTTTGCCACTACTAGTATTATTGATTGATATTTGGTGTGGGTTTGTATTGGATAAGGTGAATGGGTGTTTGTATGTCACGTTGATCGAAAAAGTACATTGATGCTTTTTTTTAATTTAGTAAGTGTGTAACACTCAAAACATGAGACGTGGGTTGTGACGTGAACACAAGTAATTTGACACATTTTTTTTAGTTTTTTTTTTTCCTTTTTTTGTGACATGGGTTGTGTCACGTTTCGGCTTTCCCACAGTTTGACCCTTTGTTTTCCAATTGCCATTTGTGACGTTTCGACGTGAACCTTACCATTGGTTGGGTTCACGACATAACCCAAAAACATGGATCCGAATTACCAAAGCAAGCCCAGGATTGCGAATTCAATGTCGAAACATGTTGCAACGTCGTGTTCTTCAGCGAGTTCCGCACAGGGTGCAGAGCATGCATGCATTGGTTGACATTGAAAACCAGGAAAGAGATTTGAGAGAGAAACAATTTTGGTCAATCCCAATACATAATTCTTTCTCCAATTATGATTATGTAAACAACCTACAAAATCTTCTTTTATATCAGTTATATACATATACATATATATACCACATATAATATATGAAAACATTATTCACAGAACCCATCAGGTGATCAAACTATTCAATTAATAAGAAGTTTAGAAAAGAATCGATAAAAGACATATATATACACACAAATTCTTAAATTTAGGCAATCAATAATCGATCTGCCCGATTTCGTCATCAACGTCTTGTACTCTGTTTTTGGGTCAATTTGACGATGCGACGTGGCACGCCGACCTGCCGGTTTGACGATCATCTTGTGCCCATTGTTCACGTCGATCTGGGGTTTCTTGATCGAACTCAAACCGGTCATGATCGCTTCAGAAGAGGCCCTGTGAAAAACGGATTTAGTACTGTTTACGTCGATCTTGTGCCTAATGTTCACGACGATCATCTTGTGCCCACTCTTCTTCTTCCCTATCTTCGTCTCCGATGACCGTCACAGTCTCTTCTTCAGGTGTGTTTCAGAGCATGGGCTTGACAAGTTCCATACGGCGTTTCTCGACATCAAACAATCATAATTCACCTCTCAGTAACAGAGGATTGAAGGGTTCAAGTGGAGGAAATCGCCGATCTTCGGGCGAAAGAAAATTTCTTTCAATGTCCAAAGAAAACACAGAGGAGTGTGTTGCTTACACAGTTCACATCCCTGCAACACCAGATCGCGCGAGACATGTCTGAGTCCCAGACTAGCCCCTTCGAAGACAGCAAGAAATCAGGGCACCTAATGAGGGGTTCTTACATTAAGGATACTATTTACACTGGAGGATTCAATTCTGTGACTCGAGCCCATGTAATCGAGAACTCGGTGGATGAACCCAAGGCAGTGAAATCAAAATTGGTTTGTGGAATAAAGGGTTGTTATGAGAAAGCTCAGGATGGTACTTGGAAGGCTCAGTGCGAGTGTGGATTCAAAATTTGCAGAGATATCTCTACTATCACACCTACACCCACCCCCACCAAACGTGGGATTACATATAAAAAAATGAAAACATAACAGCCCATAATTGATGTGAGGGCATATTTGTCCCCCACATAACAATGTAATTCAAAAAAGGAGTTATCAGTAAGATATTTCTACTATTATGGACCACCCAATCAAACAAAATATTCGTGGGACCAAATGGAATACAATTTCGCCATATAGGACTTTCTGATAAATTTCCCTTTTTTTTAATCTATTTTGTAAATTAAAAATCAATAATTTTAGAAAATTGATTAATTTGTCCCATTAAGTGATTTAAAATTTTGATAGACATACATAAAAAAAAATACATAATTATATTATTAAATCATAATTCAAATTTAGATGTTGTATCTTTTTGAGATCTATAGCTAAATTCTTATCTTTTTATTTTTTATTTTTGTGTGTAACCATAGTATATGAGAGAAATTGAAAATGGTATTGCAATAATTATGAGAGAAGTCCAAAGGAATTATGGGTTGGGAGAAGTCAATAAATGCTGAGATTGGGTTGGGAGAAGTCAATAAATGCTGAAATTTTTCTTTTTTAAATCAAAAAATTAAAATTAAAAGATTGAACCTCCCATAAACCTTAGGATTAAAAATCTCATTTTACTTAATATATAGTATAGATACGCTGAGTTAGGTTGATTGGTCTTTCATTTGCTATTTCTCTCAAATTGGACGTCTTGAAAAAATAAATTTATACACGTGTTAGTAAATATGAATTTAATGGGTTGTGCGAGTTGATAAGTGACTGCGGTTTGATTGGATGGTTTAAGCTTTACTATCGACAATGCTAGGTAACTCAAATTTTTGTGGCTCAAATGGCTCAAATCTGTCAAAACGACGTCGTTTTGACAGATTTTGAGTGTAAAACGACGTCGTTTTGACAGAGTTGAACCATTTGAGCTACAAAAATTTGAGCTACCAAACATTATCGCTTTACTATTTTGAACATCTTTCAAACTATTTTCAATAATACTTTACTATTTTTAGTCTTATTTGAGTTTAAAATTTTTAATTTGTCATAATACTTTACTATTTTTAGTCTTATTTGAGTTTAAAATTTTTAATTTGTCATTTTTTATAATAAAAATAAAGGCTCAAATTTTAAATTTCATAAATAAATGAATTTTTTTAGCACACAAAGTATAAAAATATAATATCATTTTCATAGGTGCTCACATATTGAGTTGGATCAAATAGACTCTCATCTGCTATTTATCGGAATTTAGGTAAATTCAAAAAAATGTAACTACGTCAATCTTTTGGGATCATTAAAATCGTTCATTCTGTAACAGATTGATTCAGATCATTTAATTTTAATAGCTCAGAAGGATGTTTGTTCAACCCTAATTAATACACGTTAACATGAATCATATTGTTTTTATGATTAGTGAATGCTTAAACATCACAATCGCATATGTTTTGATTTAAAAATGTGTTACTTGTTCAGCTTGCAACAAGAAAATACTAATCCAAAACTGGATATTCAATTTGCTGAGTCAGCTCCGCATCCCCATTCATGTTAAGGATAAGTATTCCATTCCCTGATTCCCCCAGGCCCCGCACATTTCACAAACTTAACCATGGTTTATTTAAATCTCCAAACTTAACTATGGTTGTTTGGGGAATGTGTTAGTTATTTATTTATTTACTAGAAACAGACGTGTGAAAAATAAAAAAAAATAATATAATCTTAATAAAACAAAAAGTTTAGCTTATAAACACATCTGAAAAGAGCCTCAATCCGTTACTGTTTTATATTTGGGGTGAGATTTTTTTTTTTTACTAAAATAATAAAAAAATTAAAACATCCAATCACATTTTTTTCTATTTTTTTATGATAAAAAATTAAAATAATTAATTCTAAACGAACGCTGTATCTATATAACCACGTTACCATCATCCTCTCTCTCTCTCTCTCTCAAGCCCTGTATATGTCATCATGGTCTCCACTTCCTCTTACTCTCCTCTTCTCCGATCATCTTCTCCGATGCTCAGATTCTCCGGCAAGCGCTCCTCTCCGCCGCCCTCCTCCGCCGTCAGATTCCGACTCCATCGAGTGGTCTCCGCCGCAGCAGCTTCTTGCTCATCGGCGGAGAGAACGAGGTCCGATTGCCTCTGCCCACCCAAACAGGCCTCTTCGTGCGCATCGCTCTACGAGGTTCTCGGAATCCCCATGGGAGCCTCTGGCAACGAGATCAAGGCTGCGTACAGGAAGCTCGCCAGGATTTGCCACCCCGACGTCGCCTCCGTTGACCGGAAGATCTCGTCGGCCGATGACTTCATGAAGATTCATTCTGCCTACTCTACCTTATCGGATCCCGAGAAACGCGCCGATTACGATCGCAAGCTTTTCCGGCGACACCGCTCGTATTCTGGAATATCGGCTTCTCCGGCGACGCCGATGTCGAGGTTTTCCGGCTATGTTCGCCGGAATTGGGAAACGGATCAGTGTTGGTAGTACTAAGTGAAGTATTGAGTCGAACTAATCAAAAACAGAATCACGAGATATACACACATGTACAGATTATTACAGATTTGGATTTGTACGTATTGGGGAATGCGTATTGTATATATGAATATGAATATGAATATGAATATGAATACGAATATGAATACGATGAACAAGTATGTAGTAGTAGCGAAGCCTAATAGGAGCTGAGTGAGTAGTTACTTTAGTTACTAACATAAATATGTATCTATTGTTATAGATGCAAAGAGATATGAATATGATTAAGCTATGTGGATGGCTAAACTTAACTGTTTTGGGAGATGGTTTTTATGCGGCGCCACATATATGTAATTATTTTAAAGTTGAAGGACCATTCCATTGTCTCTACTTCTTGTATGTGCGTGTCTGGTTGATTGTTTCCAATACAAGTTACAACTGTCTCAAAGGAGAAACTTTCGATTATGCTTTGGATAGGTCTATTCTTTGCATTCATTTCCATTTTTGGGTGAATTCAAGAATGTAATTTTTAATTGGTTTTCACGAAATTGTAAATTATTTCAAAATAAAGCAAGTAAATGAATTCATAAATTTACATATCATGTCTTACTTGGGGTGGTGTTGGTGGTAGTGATGTGATGGTGGCCACATTGATAACACGGATGGATTTAGGACGTACGAATATTTATAGGAGGTGGTGGAGGCAATGATAGTAACTGTGAAGGTGGTAGGAGATGGTAGTGAATGTGGGTGGTGGATGCGATGACAATGGTGGTAAAGGGGCAGTCGTGATTGTGATTGGATGGTGGTGTTAAGGGTGGTGTTGACAATGATTTTGTTGATGATAGAAAATATTTTTCCTTCAGTTTTGCTTTTTATAGTACCTAAGAAATGCAAATATTTTTTTTTTGCCGAGAAAATGGAGCTTTAAAATATTTGTCTCGTTTGGTGTAGCTGTTAAAGCAGTTTATAGATTATAACTTAACAGATTATAGATTATGACTTTAATTAAAAGTTGTTAATTTGTTTGGTGTAGCTGTTGGATTATAGATTTAAATTGCTGAGTAGTGTTTGTTAAATAAGTTGTGAAATAGCTTTTTTGATTAATTTTTATTTTTTGTTTGTCTACATTTCTCATAAAAAATAATAATAATAATCTATAGTCCATTTGGGTCTTTTTCTATTTTTAAAAAAATAAAAAATAAAAAAATTTAAGAGTATAACCATAAATTAACATGTCCGCAGCAGAAGCTGATAATCAGAAGTAAGGGGTGAGCAGCTTCTCAGAATCAACTTTTTTGAGTTAAAATAAGCTGTTAGAATCAGAAGTTGTTTGAAATAAATTTAACCAAACAGTCCAAAATAACTTTTTCAAAGCTAAAAGCCATAAGTTAACTCTGAAAAACTGAAACAAACACCCCCATTATGAGCTTGCTTGCTTTGTATCTCAAGATACAATTTTGGAAAAAAAATTTCAAAATCACTCTCTATCTTCTACACATCAATTAATCATTTTTCTTTTCTTTCCTCTCTCATTCTCAATCACTTTTTCTTTCACACACATCTATTCAACTATAACAAAATATCAATCATCCCAAATTTCAAACTCCAAAATTATTTTCAAAATATATAACCAAACAAACCAAAAAAATTTCTAAACTCTCTCACTGATTTTTTATTTTTTTTAAAATTTATCTCAAAACACAAATCAAACACACCCTATAATTCTTATAGTACAATATATAGCCAAACCAAGTATTATTAATGAGAGTTGAGCTATTTTAGTTGATTTTTTTAGCTATTTAACTATTTTAGGAATTGGAGATGTTGCTGCATAGGTTGTGCAGCGAAATGGGCCTATTTTGGGGCCCATTTCGATAATCTGAGCCGTTCATATTTTAGAATACGTCAAATAGAATAAACTTGCAAAAAATCAAGTTAATCAGATATCGTTTACCCATTCATCTACTCACATTTATACCAATAAAAATATAAAGTAATTGTGATTTAAAGTATTGAAATGAATACAAATGTGAGTGTATGAATGGGTAAACGATATCCAATTAATTTGATTTTTCGTATGAATGTTTTACTTGATATATTCCAAAATATAAACGGTTCGGATTATCGAAATGGGCCCCGAAATGGGCCCCGAAATGGGCCAATTTTACCTATTTTATGAGATGAAAAAAGTTGTATTTGGAATGATTTGTAAATTTTTTTTTGATAGTTGAATAGATAGATGTGAGAGAAAAAATAATTGATTGAAGTGTACGATGTAGTATTTCGTCTTATTAACTATTTTAATTTTTTTTTGTCTTTATTAACTTAGCCAATTTAACTCATCCCAAACACCACCTAATGGGTTTTTTTCTTTAATTTGTCCTTTTTGTTTTTTAATTATATATATTTTTAATTTAGAGCAGGGCTTTAATTTTTGTCTTTAAAACATAACTTTTATACTGTGTTTGGTTGGGGGATTTAGGGAGGGATTTGGAAAGGGAAAGGGAAAAGGTGTGTGAAACTAGGTGAAATGTAGGCATATTTTATTCACATTTCACATAACTTTTCCCTTTCCCTTTTCAAATCTCTCCTCAAATCCCCCAACCAAGGTAGGATGGTTAAGCCTCCTCTGGTAGCTTCAAATAACTGGGTGTTACTAAAGCATTCAAAAACAAAGGAACCAAATATGGTCCCAGTGATTTCTAGGTCCCAGAGGAGGAAGATCCAACGAAGGTACACTCAGTACCAGAAGGATCTGAAAGAAAGTGGAGAAAGCTCTTCATTGGTCCAGCCAAAGGGCCAGATAGAGAGAGAAGAAAGTTCAAAATTAGATCATAATCTAAAACCGACTCCTCAAGACAAAAGGAGTTGCAGCAGGGAGCAATTGGTCAAAGTTCATTCTGAATTGAACGCCAAAGAAAGATCTAGTTTGGCGGGAATGGAAAAGGCTTTGATGGCAAGTGATAGTGAGACAGAGGGAGAAGTTGGCCTAGGCCAAAGGAAGAAGATTGTTGAGTAAGAAATGTTTGAAGCCTTCATGGCTGAACATACATTTTTGGTCGAAAAACCAGCAGAAACAAACCATTCGAAGGAGGTTGTTAGTAATGAAGTGCCAGAATGCAGTATGGATGATGCTTCTGAAGTAATTGAACAAGTTGGCCAGGAAGAGAAACAGGTACAGCTAGTTGCCCAATTTGGCTCATTTCCTCCAGTATCAGTGAATATGGTGCATATACTATCACAAGAATTCCAAGCTGAAGATAAAAACCAAGGTCAGGAGATTGACCCAATTCCAGTTTCTAGTGAAGACTCACAAGTGAATATGGTGCAAGATAAATCCGAAGTGGCTACGCCAATGGAAACTGGAGATGAAAGTGAGGAAGATGTGAGTATTAACCTCTCATACCCTTTTGAGTATCCCACAACATCCATGACACAGTATGTCAAACCCTTGTATATCAAGGCCTTCTTCGATAGGATACAGATGAATCGGGTATTGGTCGATAATGGGGCAACAGTGAACCTGCTTCCGAAATCTTCTTTGAAGAAACTAAAAAAGAGGAACCCCAGACTAATTCCAACCAGTACAACCATTGTTGGTTTCGTTGGTGACAAATAGATGGCTCAAGGTATTTTACCCATCAACCTGAGTGTGGGAACAAAGGATTGCATAATGGCATTCTTCGTTATTGACAGCAATGCTAAGTATAACACTCTACTTGGAAGGGATTGGATTCACATCAACAAATGTGTACCTTCCTCTTTACATTAGAAGATCATGATGGCCTTGTACAATGGAGAAACAGAGGAGATCAATGCAGATCCTCAACCATTCATAGCTTGTGCAGATTTTGCAGAGGCTAAATTGTATACTGAAGGAGTGACACCACTCAGTATATGTGAAAACCCATCTTTTAATTATTCTTTAAAGAAAATTTATTAATTAATTTTGTCTACAGTCTATCTGAATTATACATTAGTGTAAAAGTTAGTTTTAAATTGACTCAATTCAATCACTAACAAGACATTATTAAGAATAATAATTTTGTGGGTGTTCAATATTTGTTGTTTATAAATTATTTTAATTATGATTCAATATAATAACTATTCTTACTAAATACCTTAGTTAAAAATCTTAGTGTGTCAATTTTCAGAAACCCACACACAAAAAAAAAAAAAAAAATACAAACAAACAAACCGTGGGCAAACAACCCATAGTTCCTACCAAATCCACCATCTCTATTTAGGGAAGAACTTATAAAAATTAGAGAAAGTTTGCTCTTAGAAATTGGAGAAAGGGAATGGAATGTTTTTGAGGAAATAAAATAATGAAAAGAATGAGAGGGAGAGAGAGATGTCTTCAATATTTATATGCATGCAAGCCTTCCTTGTGCATGCAAGCATCCGGTGACAAAGAAAAAAAAAAAAGAAAAAAAAGAAAAGAGAAATCCCCAAAGCCACCAAGCTTGGTGTTAGGAGAGGAAGAAGAGTAGGAGATTAAAGAAGCCAAAATTCTCAACCATTTTGTCACTCTATTACTAAGTAAGAAAACCCTCTCAACCCTCTCATTTTGTTTTTATATAATTGAAATTTTTCAGATTACGTACATTTGATACATTGTCTGAAACTGTGTTGAGAATAATCTGTCTTGAATCTGCCAACATGTTACCCGAATTTTTAGACAATTTTATACTCAGAATTTCGAGATGATTTCTTCTACAAAGTTGTTGATAATGATGTCTAGTTTATCCAGAAATTTTTGTCGTTGGACTTTGGCTTTGTAAGAACTTAAAAGTTCCTAATTAGTAGTTAAAACTTTATCTAGCAAGTTATTGTTATTTAAATCTTATGATGTAAAAAAAAAAAATTTGGGGCGTCACAGTATACTAAGGAAATCTGATGGATCAGTCGAAGTGACGGCTGATGAGGAATTAGCACACCTAAAGCACTTAGTCCAGGAAAGTGCTGATGAAGAGTTTGTTGCTAAAGATGACAATGATGCCTGGTTGTAGGCAAATAGATAAAACC